TAGGGCCTATGGGTACCCTAAACCCTTAACCCTAAACCCTAAACCCCTAAAGCCTAAACCTTTGCCTCAACTCTCGGTGCGCTTGTTCGGGTTTCAGTCTCTTTCGGCGGCCCTCTGAGGCTCTCGCGGCAGTCCAAAGAGGGCGGGAATCCCTGCATCTCGCTGCTGGCAACTCTCTGCACCGCTTGCATCAGCTTCACTCAGAGGTGCGACTGCACTCGTTAGGGCTTAAGGTTTAGGGCTTAGGGTTCTTTTTTATGGTTTTATGGTTTAGGGGTTAAGGTTATAGGGTTTGGGCAGTTTAGGGTTTAGGGCTTAGGGCTCTATTATGGTTTAGGGGTTAAGGCTTCTAGGGTTTAGGGCTTCGGGTTTAGGGTTTAGGGATTTGGAACCTTCGCCAATGTGTGCTCGGGTGCAGCCGGAGACTGGCCTACATGTTCGTACCTGGTAATGTTGGAGCCTTAATAACCACCCATACTATTTCGGGGATTCCTTAATATAGTTATAGTATAATAATTACCTATACTATTTTGGGGATTCCTTGCTATAGTTATAGTATACTGGAATCCAAAGACCTATTCTAATTATTAAGGCCCCTACATTAGACGGCCCCCGGTGTTGCAGTTTGAACTCCCTGAGGCATCTGGCGTTCCTGACCAAGGACGCCTATATCGATGTGGTCATCTCATCCACGCCGTTCCTCACGGCTGCGCAGAACGCCCCCAAGTCTGCAAGCCTTCGCGGGAAGGAGGCATTCGGAGGAATGAGAAGAATTTGCCTCGTTGTTGGTGCGGCGGTCTGTTCACCTTGGGGGTTGGGCTTTTGGGATGCAGTCTGACACCTTCTGCAGTACACTTCACGCCGGCCGTCAAGCCTCCCGTCGCTTCTAAGCCGAAAAAGTTCAGGGAGAAAGTTGGCTTTGCTCTGCCAACCGAGGCCTTCGGCTTCATCAAGGCCGATACGGGCAAGGTCTCCAGCCTTAGAAACTTGGATGCCTCCTATACTTGGAGGATCATGGGGCTTAGTAAGTAAGGTTATAAGTACCTTAAGGGGAGTTATAAATAGTTATAACTATATTTACCTTATTTATAACCCTAATTTAAGTCCCATGATCCTTTAAATAGGACTCAGTGTTCAAGAGTGTGAAGAACCACATTGAGCAGGCATCGGTCTGTCCCAGTTTTCGAAGCAGACCCAACACTTGGAAGCGTAGAGGCCTTTGAGCGTCGTTTTGGGTTTTAAACCCTAAACCCCTAAACCCTAAACCCTAAACCCTAATTCCTAAACCCTAAACCCTAAACTTTACTTCAGGGCTGCAGCACGACCCAACACGACCCAGGCGGCTCCGTTTGGATCATCAGCTTCGCCGTGACCTCGGGCGTCTTCACACTCTCCGTAGCGATGCTGTGGACGCTCCTAGTCTTGAACGACCAGCAGATGAAGGAGCCCGGTTGTAAGCAGTTCTGGGATAAACTGAGTAGAGTCCCCGCTTCGAAATGCTGTAATGTAGGGGGCTAGATAATTACCAATACTATTTTGGGGGCTCCGTATTATAACTATAATGGGCTCCAAAATCCGATTCTAGTTATTTAGGCCCCTTTGTGAAAGCCACACGGAAGATGGCTGGCTTCCACCATGGAACCCCGTGAGCTCGAGAGAGTTGAAAGCTGCCCTTGGAAGGACAGCCACTACCGGGTTGAAAACCCGTACTTCGTAGCAACCCTCAGTGGGCTGCTCTCGGCGTCCCTGGCGGGCTCCTTCATGGCGGGCAAAGGGGAGGGGCCATTTAGGGCTTAGGGTTTAGTAGATCGGGCTTCCTTGGGGAAGGTATCGGGTCTGACGAGTTCGAAGTGCTGTCTGGCACAGCCATCTTGCACTTGCGTAGCTGACTGCATGCCTTTGCAGAAGTCGGGTTAAGGGCCTACGGTTTGCAGAAGTCCTGACGCCCCCCAACTACCCTCTAATATACCGTAAATACCCACTATTAAGGACCATAAGGGCTCTATTAAAGGACCCTTGGGGGGTCCTGGGTGTCTATAAGAGCAAGAAGAGCATGTAACAATCAACCTCATGCTTCTGCAGTCTGCGCCACCCAAACGCGCTCCCCTAAACACAATGGCTTCAGTTGATCGCAACTAAGAAACCCTACACACCCGAACCCTCCAAAATCCCAAACCCAAAACCCAAGCCCAAAACCCTAAACCCCATAAAACACCTAGACCCCCAGCTGCCCTCTACTATACCCCAAAGACCCACCAAAGGCCTCTCTGTTAAGGGGCAGTTGGGGGGTCCTGACATGGGCGGATCGCCTTTCGCAGGTGATTTTCGAGCACTGTTCGGACACCTTGTTGTACGTCTTCCACTGGCCACTTTGGGGAAACAGCGGGATCACAACGTACAGGGTTTTAGCTTTGGGGTTTACATAAACCCTAAACCCCAAAACCCCTAAACCCCAAAACCTTGAAGTTTTAGGGTTTGCATTTCGTTAGGGGTTTGGGATTTGGGGTTTAGAGGCGATACGGTTTGAGGGGTGCAGGCTTTAGGGATTAGGGTTAAGAGTACATTAGGAAAAGTTCGTCCTGCTGTTTCTGAGGGTTTGGGCTTTAGAAACCAGGATTGCGAGTACAAACTTAGCCCTGCTATTTGTGAGGGTTCCCACTTGTAGCTATATTATGCAAGCATCAAGTCTGAATAATATATGGGTAGTTCCGGTAATTATTAGGATCCCCCTTTTTGGGGGTCCCCAAACTAGTACGGCACCGTTATGAACAGGACTTTAAAAAGGGACCCTTATCTAGAGAACTACCCATCTAGGCCCCTAGTTGAGGGTTTGGGGTCAGTCCCAGTCCCTCAGGAACAAGTCGCATGGCCACAACACCGTCGCCAAGTATTGCCCCGACGAATTAATGCAGCTGCTCGGAAGACAAGCTTGCAGGTAGCTTGGGGTTTAGCTGCCCAAAGCTTTTTGCGGGCTGTCCAGGGCTTGGGGCCTAAACTTTATCGACTACGGACCATTTGCAGACCCTACAAGAGGGAGTCTTGGGCTTGATTGTCTCAAAACACGCTTCTGTTCGAGCGTTTCGTGAATGTGCAGTTGGAGAAGGCTGTGGAAGAAGATGTTAGAAGCTACTACTACTACTACTACTACTACTACTACTGCTGCTTCTGTCTGCAGTTTCCCAGCCGAGGCTTATGGAGTACAAGAAGGTCACTGGAAATGGGAAAACAGCGCGGCCTGAGCAGGCTGGCAACTTGGCTCAGTGGTTTGTTTGGGAGCCACCCTAAACCTAAACCGTCGATCGGGCATAGTATCGTATATTAGAGTAGAGTAAAGTATAGTATAGTAGAGTAGAGAATAGCATAGTTAAGAGCCGCTCACAGCGTCTCAGGAAAGTACAGCCCCTACACCCAACAGCCCCTCAAGGTCGTTAAGACCCTTAAACCCTGAAGCCCTTTACACCATAAAATCACATCGAAGCTCTCAGAGCAATCCCCTGAAACCACAAGCCCGAAAACCTAAACCCGAAGAAGACAAAGCGCGCATGCTCTCAAAGCTGTAACAAAGGAAGGTCGCCAAACCCCAAAGCCTTAAAACCCTAAACAAATAGGCTGTAAAACCTAAGTCCAACGAAAGCAGACCTCTCAAAGCAAGAAAAGCGCCCAAAACAAAGGAGGGTCGCTAAACCTTATACCCCCTATAAACCCTAAATCCTAAAACTCTCCTAGAAACTCCCTAGACCCTAAAACTCAGAGCCAAGGAATCTTCAGCGGCTTGGGCGGCTTCTTCTCCTCGGACGTGCCGAACTCGAAGCAGGGCCAGTCACCGGAGGCCTGGCTGTCGGCCTTTAAGGGTTTAGGGTTTAGGGGCCTTTAAGGGGTTCTTTAAAGGGTGTAGGGTTTAGGGTGTAAGGGTTCTTTAAAGGGTTTAGGGTTTAAGGGCTAAGGGTTTAAGGATTCTTTGAGGGTTCTTTAGAGGGTTCTTTAAAGGGTTTTTTAAGGTTTCTGTGATACAGCGGTTAAAGGGTTCCTTAAAGGGGCCTATAGGGTTTAGGTTTTCGTAAGGTTCCTTAAAGGGTTCCTTCAAGGGGTCTATAGGGTTTGGGTTTAGGGTCTATTGTATGGGGTTTCTTTGGGGTTTTTTTTATAGTCTATAAGAGTTAGAATACGGTTCCTCTACGGGTTTAGGGTTTAGGGGTTTCTTTTGAAGGGTTGCTGCAAGTGTTACTGCAAGGGTTCAATAATGTAGGTGGCTTAGTAAGTAGCATGGGGTGCTGGGTTCCTTTATAGTCGTGATATAGGGGCCATACTTGAAGGATCATGGCACTTAGTAAGTAAGGTTCCTCAAATTGAAGGGTTCCGGAAAGGGATCTATAGGGTTTAGGGTTTAGGGTCCTACTTGTAATCATGGGAAATAGTAAGTGAGGTTATAAGTACTGTATTTGAAGATATACGTGATTAAACCTATAGTTACCATATTTATAACCATGGTTACGAAGTCCCATGATCCTCCAAGTAAGGTTCCGTTGTTGTAGAGGGGTTCCTTGCAACGGTTTCATATTACTACAAGGCTTTAGGATTGAGGCTTTAGGGTTAGAGTAGGATTCTTAGGCATAATATCGTAGACTGCTACCAAGGAACCCTAGTTAAGGAACAGTGGCATTCAGGAATCTCCATCCGGGTTTGGGATCTAGGGCTGTCGAATGTACAGGACCCGAAACACAGGTATCTTACCGGTGCTTGTCAAGACATGTGGAGTTACCTGAATTCAGACCAGCCAAGAAAGCTGTGCGCTACCGATGTTGGTTTCCAAATCTGCAAGGTGAGTTTTTTCGAGTCCTAAAGGAAAGCGATCCTATTGCTTGCTGTCTCCATCAGACTTCAGCTTTCTGTGAAGCCCCCAAGAAGCGTCCTAATATACGGGTCTCGGAAAACTAGTCTCTACGGTTGAACCCATGGGCCACTAGTATGGGCCCTTAACCTTGGGATCCTTACACACCTACTATATAACTATATACCCTATATGTACTCTTAAGGTTCCCTAGAAAGTCCTAGGGGTCCATATTAGGGGCCCATACTGTTAGCCTTAGAAATTAGTCACTAGTCAGAGTATGCACTTATAGTCAACAATGTCGTCATAGTATAATGGACCCCACGAGCCTATTCTATTGATTCACGCCCCAGTGTTATTCAAGACAACCAGCCAAGGACAAGTCCGAAATCCCTGGACGCATTCCGACAGCTTAGGGCAATATAGGGGCCCTAAGAATTGCCTATACTATTGTGGGGGGGGGGGGG